TCATTCTCCACAGAGATTGGGATATTGCCAGCTAGCTGAGCTTGTGGCCCAGCAGTGCTTCTCATTCAGTCTTCTCACACAGGTTCCAGTAGCACTGTACCTGCCCAGAGCCAAGACCTGTTGCCAACAGGAGCGAGAGATAAAGATAAAGGTATGGATTATTTTCCACCCTCCAGTCTTGAGACCAGTGGTTTTCATTGGGCCTTGATTTCACACAGCCTGACAGCTCCATTGGTAGTTGAGTGCAGCTTATGTGTGTGCCGTAAAATCCATGGTACCAGATGGCCAGCGGAGCAGTGTTGGAATTTCTCCCCAAGAATTGTGCAGCACTGTGTACAGTCCTGGACACATTCTTCCTTTCCTAGGAAGGTGACAGAATTATATCTGTGACAGAATTGTACCTGTGCACCTTGTCTACTGTTTCTAGGCAATGAATATGGCTTTGTTAGTAGAGCTGTTGTCTCGATGGAGATTCCCAGTAGCACTGTACCTGCTCAGAGCCAAGACCAGTTGCCAACAGGAGTGGGAAATAAAGATAAAGGTAAGAATTCCAACCCTCCAGTCTTGAGATGAGCTTATCTAAAGAGTTGATATCACACAGATGTTGTGGCTCAGTGAGCATCACACAGCCACTTGCTCACTCCCCCCTGATCCCCAGAGGGAAAAGAAATAGTAAAGGTAAAAAAACTTGAGGGTCAAGATGGGGAAAGAAAAAAATCCCCCACGTAATAAGTGGAAGAGGAAAATCAAGCAAAAGAAGTGATACAAAGGCAGTCATTCACTGCCTCCCACATGCAGACTGATGCCTAGCCAGTTTCCAAGCAAAACGTAGCTAACCCTCCTAAAACTCCCTCTTCTCCCTTTTATTACTGAGCTTTATGTTATATGGTATAGATGTTTGGTAGGTTTGTGTCCTTTGCCCACTTGTAGCCCCTCTCAAGCTATTGTGGAGCCCCAGTTCTCTTCACTCTGGGGGCAGGGTGAAAAACTGAGGCCTTGATGTATATCACTGTTGAGCAGAAGCCGGGACATGAGTGTGTTGACAGCATTGTTTTGATCAAAAATCTAAAAAACAGCATCATACTGGTTGCTATGAAGAAAATTACATCTTATTCTACCCATGTCCAGTAAAGTGTAATTTCTGATGTAGCAAAGTGATGCAAAGTCCACTGGAAACAAAATACAAATGTTGACTTCTAGAATATCACAATTACAGAGCACAGTTCAATCACAGTAATAATGGGATTCCCATTGCAAATCTGTATAATATACTCACTGTCTCAATATATACTCACTGGGTGTCCCTAGTGAAATTGAAGCCAGCTCAAGCCAGTTGCTGTTTCCAAAAGTCTTTAGTTGGTTGGTCAGGTTTAATACCTCTGCGTGGGGCTGAGCTCTGTGTTCACTACCCCCATGCTAGTCTGGCTGACTCAGAGAGAAACATTTCTGCTTCCAGTCAGCTACCATTGCCTTTTATGCACCCTCTGGTCCCCTTGGTGTGGAGACAAAGTCAGCTTCTTTGCAAGAACCATGGTCAGTCACACCCTGTGTTGTTCTGAGCTTCCTGACATTACCCTTGCCCTTCCTCACTGAGACTCCTTCCAGTGTCAAGGTTTATTGCTCAGTCACAAAGCCCTGACTTCTGTGTTAGGCTGTATGGGAGATAGATTCTTAAAGTGCTTGACTTTGCTACTGCAGTCAAATCCTTGTTATTTCTGGGATGAAGTACCAAATGCAGGATCTTTCTCTTAAAGCAAATAAGGACTGTGATGTTCTTTTGTGTAGGTAAAAAGGACAGTTCCTCTGATGAAGCTTCAAAGGACAACAAAAGAGATAACTGTGATGAGATCTGTTTGTTCTATGTCTGGAAGTACTGCAAAAATAAGGGTAAGCTTTATGAAAAGTAATGTTGTTGAAGACTTGTCTGCAGAGGCACTCCTGCTCAGTGGCTGGGGGTAGTGGTGACAATTGTGCCTCCTCTTTCCAAGTTATTAATAAACACTGTCAGAATTACAAACATAATCAGCAAAAAAGCCAAATGGTATACTTAAACTCTTTATCCTCTGGATAATCCAGCTTATTTCAGCCCTTTTGACGGGGACAGGTTTTGGGTATGTTTCTGTGGCAAAACCCTTTAAGTGAAGTGTTACTCTTTCTGTTGCTAGAAGATCAAGTTACTGGATTTATGTTGTCATTATTGACAACTCATAAATGTATGGCACCCTTTATTCCTACTTATATACCCTATGTACATCAGATAATAGCCATATTCTCCCTCATTAAGTCATTTAAAAAGTGATCTGAGTTGTTAAAGCATCTTTAAAAACCCACAGTAGTTGTACCAGCTAAGATAAAGATAAATCTAGTCCATTGTCTTTTTGGTAATGGCCAGAACAGAGGTCTGAGCGAAGAATATAATTGTTCAGGACAACTCCCAAATACAGCCATTTAACGCCCAGATTTGGCTCTTCCTTTATTATGAGGAGGTACCATGACATTTACTTTCCCTAATCTTGTCCAGTCAGTTTCTAAAGGACTGCTACTCCTCTGACTACCTGGTCTTGACAAAAGACCCTGTGTATGTGAACAGTTTCACCTGTGTGAAACTGTAAAGGTCACACTCAAAGCAGCTTACTGTGACTACCAGATAACTAAATTCAAGTAACTGTTGGAGTGTTAGTGTGCTTTATTTGCTACATTGGACTAAGTTGTTTGATGTTTGATCCATACTTGGATGTGGAGTGTCAGTCAGAAAAAAAACATTCAGGCCTTGGCAACCACCCCATGATTTCTAAGGGACTAAGCAAAAGACAACCAAACATATCAGAGTGTTTATGGGATGGGTAGACTAGACTTTTTACAGCTGAGACACATGGTTGTGTGACACATAACATGCACTTCCTGTCTGTGGCACTGCTGTCCCAGCTGCCAGCGTTGTGTCTCAGCAAAGGGAAGGTTCTGGTCATGTGCTAGTTTTGCATCACAGAAGTGATGTTTTAGGAGAGGCTGCTGGCAATTTCCTCCGTGTCTGATAGGAAACTAATCAGTGGCTAGCTTTGGGAATTGACAATCAGTTAAACCACTGGAAAGCTACACACGCCTCTGTGAAAAACACATGTTAAAGATGAAAAAAAAACTGGGAAACTTTCTCTTTTCCCTTCTGGCTGGCAAAGAGGTAACACTGCCAGCCTGGCCCCTGTCTCAGCCGGGCTGGGCCGGGTGACCCTGCACATGGCTACCAGGCAGGGGCAGAGCAGAAGCCATCGCTGCACTGGCTGCTGAAATCCTAATCACTTCCCCAGCACGCCTCACTTGTGCCACAAGCTACTGAGCCCGGGTCACATAACCATCCACAGGCCCTGGGCAAAATATTAACTCTTCCAATACTTCAATCCTCCCTCGAGTGAGAGAACAAGACCGAAGTACAAACACATAAAGAAACAACATACAAACACCAGAGTCAAGTCAATGAAGAAGTCAAGTCCCAAACAAGAAAGATGAAGAAATGCCTTTAGTTTTAGGCTAAAATTCTCTTGCAAAACTATAGAGGAGGACTCTCTTTTTTTCCTGTAACACTTAAAAGTATGAGGAAATGAGAGTGTTCAAATTGTAGATATTGAGCAAAAACCTCCATACTAAAGTAAACAGATGTTAAAGTAGCTATAATCCTATAAGGAATTTGAACAGAAAAAGAGAGATGAGTGATAATGATCCTATACCCTAAAGAAAGAAAATATCTCTACTCCTAGAGTTAAAGATAATTTCAGGGACAGATATTAAGAACTTTTGCTTTTAAAAAACTCATCTTTAACCAGTACCCCATAACTTGACATGGCCCATAAATACAATATGAGAAAAACTTAAAGAAAATGAGAAATATTTCATGATTACAAATTTCCCCAAACAGATGCTATTCGTAGAAATCAAGAGCTACGAGAGAAGTACTTTCTTGTAGAGAAGTCTCCATAACATTAACAAGAAGGACTTTTCTCCCTAAGTAAACTAAAGAAAGACTATTCTAGAAGTAGTAAACTAACTAAAAATTTTAGGTTTTGTCTCTATATTATCAATGAGAAAAAAAAAGTTGGAAAGGGAAGAAAAGCATCCTAAAAATTGTGTTTTGATTCTTATTACTCTTTCTTTTAGTTACTATTAATAATTTTTTTATACCCTTTTAAAATTTTGAGCCTATTTTACTTTTCTCCTAACTGTATTTCACAACAAAAAATAAATACATTCTAGTAAGTGCACTAGTAATTAACCTACACTAAACCCACCACACTAATTAGTACATTAACCAAAAACATCTCAAATTAGTGAACCAAAACCACTACAGGCGTCTTTCAAATATATTTGGCAGTGTGTGTGTGTATATATATATATATATATATATATATATAAGTACACATATACGTTGCTTTTCTTAATAAGACTGCAGAAACACACTCCATTTCTGTTTTCAGCACTCTGTCCTCATTACTTACACCAAAGCCCAGGAGAAAAAGCCTCAAAGTATAAAAGATACTGGTTTTATTTTGGTTTTTTCTTGTCTTGCTCTCTTTGTTAATGACTGCAGAATTCTTGACTATGTCTGATTTCATTACAGATAAATGTGAATCTGTTCATTACCATTTGCCATATAAATGGGAGATACATGATGGGTTGAACTGGCGTGAACTTCCCATGATGGAGGAAATTGAAAAGGCCTATTGTGACCCAAAGAACAGCAGGTGTAGTAATGCTGGGCTCCTCACTTGGAGTATTGTGATTGAGCCTGTGTAGGAAAAGTTGTGCTTTTTTCCTAAAGATGTCTGACTTCTCAGCTTCTGTTTACTGAGCCTCGTAGAAGTTGGCAGGATGTAAAAATAAGAATTTTTCCTTTTAAAAAAGCAAAGAATGCTTGCATGAAAATCCCACTCCAGTTTTGTCTTCGAAAAATAACAAAACTATATCTTGCATGAAAAATTCTGTACAAGGTAAAAAAAACAGTGTTTAAAATACTAGCATTTCAGATCATTAATCAGTTTTTTACAGTAATGAAGTTGGGCCTTTTGACAACATTTCAGAGCTGGTTCTTCTCTATAACTTTCTTTTCTACTACAGCTAGTATCTGTAATAACAATAATAGTAATCTATTACATACCTGGAGACATTTTATGAAATGTCCTTCGTGTAAGCAGCCCATCTGTTTTTTCTTCTTCTTCTTAATTTCCATTTCAAGAGATTTTCCTTTTAACTCCTTTCTGAAAAGTCCCACTCAAAGCTACCTGGATTCATAGGGCACCCCAAGTCTGTCTTCACAAAATGGTATTCTAGTTTTGGCCCATGTCTCTGAAGGCACCAGATGACTTTGATAGGCAAGATTCTGGAGATCACAAGCAATATTCCCAAGAGAAGGCTGCCATCAAAGTCTTCCTGCCTGGGAGTTTGCTTTTAAAGCCTTGCAGGAGTAAGAGCCCAGGTGGCTTCAGCAATGAATGCAATTTGCAGACCCCACAGCTGTGTTTGCTGTGATTGCATCCTTTGTAACCACAGAAAATAACAAAGTTGATAGGTTGCAGGTGTTTGCTGGCAGATTCAGTCACACACTTGTCACATTCTGCCTTTGTACTGAGAAAGACTGTAACCACACCTTTTTCCACACTGTACTTGGAGCCTTGCCTGCAAAGCTGGCAGTGCCACATGTCATTGAGGTGTCTCACAGGCCAGAGGTCACTACTGAAGCTTGGCAATGGCTTTCAGAGCTGCCATGTGCTGTAGGAAATAAATACTCCTATTTCAGCTCTAATTAAGTTTGGTTACTTTATATTAAAGAAAATGGCACCAGCTTAAACCAGGGATGAGAGGGTAAAATATGACTGCTAACTATAATAAACCTGAATTTGTCCTTACAGCTTGCCAAGTAGGAACATTAATTTCCAGACAATGACCTGCTCTTCTTCTTTGGTTCGACGCCTCTCTACACCATCATCAGTCCTAAAACCCACATTCCTACTGACCACAGAGTGGATTTGGTACTGGAAGAATAACCAAGACAAGTGGATTGAATATGGAGAACAGGTGATTCCACATCCTGTGCTTTGAGTCACTTCTGCAGGAATATGTGGAGTCTCTCTACATAATTTGCCCCTTCTCAACAGGATTCATTAGTTGAGTCCTTGTGCTTGAATTTTACAGCATTGGGTAAGGCAGTGAAGCTACATCTGTTCATAACAGATGTGATAAAATGCTGACAGGCTGGAGGAAAGAGAGCTCCCTTTTGAAGTTGTCCACGGCTCCTACAGATATTTAACATATAGACACTTCTCTTAAGATATATGGGAAGAAGTTGCCTCTTTTCTAAGCATTGCCCTGCTTCCTTGGACATGCAAGGATTGCTGTGCTCTGTCACATCAAATGCAGTCTTTTTCCATGTATGTCCAAGTCCTCTGATGAGAAAGTGATCTATCTTAAAAATGCAGGAAAAGAAATAAGTATAGAATCTCACCTTCCCCCAAGACAGATGAGTTTTTCCTATATGGTTCACAGTACAGCAGCACAAATATTAGAACACAAAGGTGATCCATGGACTTGGAAAAGTACACAGAGAAAGGTGTTGGATAGAGTACAGTTTAAAAGACTCAGAGTAACCTCAAGAGTACTCAACCTCAAAGAATCAGCCAGATCCAGGAGAGATCACAGCTGTCCAGCTGCTCTTTAGCAGGCAGAGCTTGCAAGGAGCTCACTCAGGCTTTCCTATCTGTGGAATGAAGTGGTTGGCTCATAGTTAAATCACAAGCAAAGTGCAACTTTTTTTTTCCAAGGCAAATTAGTCTTGGAAGAACCACCTGCTATTCATACATTAATCACATAATCACTGATTAGTTTCCAAGCTCACATACATCAATGCTCGCCATGTCACCCTGTTCCTTTGTGGGTTTTCAGATAGCAGGCTGGAACTAGAAAAGTTCTTGGCCTAGGCCTTTGCTTCCTTTGGAGCCTGAACCAAAGTAACTCTGGTTTGGTAAGGAGTTGAGTGTACCCATTACAGCCTGTTGCAGCTCTTGCCCCCTCCCCTGCAGTGGAACTGGGCAGAGAGTGAGAAAACAGATGGGATGAGATAAAGACTAAAAGATAAAGCAACAGTGTGTGCACAAGCAAGGCAAAACAAGGCATTCATTCCCCTCTTCCCTTGGACAGGCAGGTGCTCAGCCATCCCAGGGAAGCTGGGCTCCATCACATCTTGGGAGAGTGTTCTCTTGGGAAGACAAACTCTATCACTCCAAATATCCCCTCCCTCTCCTCCCCCCTGCTTTGTATACAGGAGTGACAGCTTAGGTCCGGGATGTCCCTGTGCCAGTTGGGGGCAGCTCTCCTGGATGTGCATCCTCCTGGATGTGTATCCCCCCCAGGCCTGTCACTGGTGAGGTGGGAGAAAAGCAGAAAAGGCCTTGGCTCTGTGCATGACTAAACTAAATAATCACTAAGACATCCCTGTGTTATCAGCCCTGATCCAGCACAAATCAAAAACACAGTCACTACCAGCTACTGGGAGGAAATTTAACTCTACCCCAGCCAGAACCAGCACAACTTTTTGCAGGAATTTATATTTACTAATTATATATTCGTGTTTATGTTACAAATATTCAGTACTGAGGCCACCATAGTTCTGGGTAGATTCCTTGTCATCCTACACTTGGTCTCTTCTTTCCCTCTACCCCAGATAGTTATCCAGGGTTTAGTCCTGACGTGATACTTCTCATTCTCTTTATTTTTTTCTATTCTCTCCACAAAGGAAGAAGGGAACAGCACGACCTCACCATCTTCTGCTGTTATTGAGAATTTGTATCAAGCAGATCCAGGTGTCACTGTAGCTTTCCAGGCTGGCCAACATCAGTATGAACTCAATTTTAAAGGTAGTAATTTTAAAGGTTCTCATCTACAACTATGCAGTGCTTTATAGACGATTTCAAAGTCTCACAGTTTTCAGAAAGTATGATTTTCTTTCCTGACACCACCAGTTTCACTTACTGCAAGTGAGGTAGTGATGGCTCAGAGTAAATTCCTTACAAAAGTAATCTTCCCCCATTATTACTTGACACTCTGAAGACTCACATCTGAGGAGAAATATAAAGGTTCATAGTCTTCACATAAAGTCATAGTAAACTTTAAGGAAAGTAAGTTAACACTGTGGATGGCAAAAAATACAAGTTAGGCATCTTTACGCTGCTATAACAATGTTTCAAGAGCATGAGTGGCTTGAGGAAGCAGGCAGGATAGGCACAGGTTCAATCACAGAGTTACAGGAAGCTTATACAGCCTATCCCCAGCAGGTAGAATTGATAGTGACTATGCAGTTTTCATTAAAGAATGACTAATGAGGACAGGATGACCCTGTCTTGTAGACTTACTGACTTCTTTTTTGTTCTTTTTTCTCCTCAAGAAATGACTCAGACAAATACTAGTTTTAAAACTCAAAGACAGGTTTGCAGGCGACCAAAATTTGTGTCTTCTGAAGATGTACAGAAGATAAAGACAGGGTAAGTGCTCTTTAGGTTGTTTTTTCAGTAATCACAAAGCAAAATGGGTCCCAGTGTTGGCAGTAGTTGTACAAAGAATGATGAACTGCCTTCTCTTCAGACATTGCTGCTGGAGAAAACCTATCCATGGACTGCAAAACAAGTTGTATCACAAACTGCAGTCTTGGTGCCTCACCTGCTGCCTGGGATACGTGTTACTCCAGCTACAGCTGTTAATTAAAAAAGCAATGCAAGATTTTTGCATTGTGATGGTTGAGTGCCAGCATGCAGAGCCCAGCCTACATACTGAGGCTATTTCCCAGTTTCTTTGTGGTTTATTTTGTTAATTTTTAAATACAGGAATTGGCCAGAGGGGATGCTCCAAATCTGAGTGTTTGGAGCAGTACTAGAATTACTAACACTTCATTTTCTGTCTGTTTGCAAGCAGCCAAAGGGATTCTTCTATTCCAAATCAGACCTGTCCTAGTCACTGGGATGCATCTGCACTGCCTGACTTGGGATACAAGGTATCTTTTTTTTCCCCCTTGTAATTCTGATGGAAAGACACAGTTCAGAGCTTAACTGAATCAACTGTAACTGTATGGATGCTAAAAAGAGACAGGAATAATTTCTTGGGTGGGCGTGCTAAAGATCTAGGTGATCTCTCAAGGGCTCATGAAACAGGTGCCAAATTGCCTTGAACTTAACTGCATTTTAGTCATTTATCTACATACCAAAAACTCATCAAACCAAAAACTGAAAACTCCAAACAAAAACAAACCCAAAACTCACCAAGTTCAAGACAGGAAGAGCAAATATGGATTGGAGATCCAGGAAAGGAAATCTCTGTATCCTCCAGTACTGTCACATACATCATGGATCTGAGCACAGACCTTTGACTGAAGAAATGGCAGAAATGAAGATCTACAACCATAAAATAAAAAAAAAAAACATTGCAGTGATGTCTTCCACAAAACAAACACATTCCTTGTCAGCCCAAAGTCTATGTTCTTATTTGGTTTACCAAGACCAAAATGCGTGGGTATTTTTTGGATTACTAGGTCCTTCCTGCAGACCTGGAAGAGCAGCACAGTTTGTGGAAGTACTATAGGACTCTAGAAAAAAAGGCTTTTTCATGTTACACATGCCCTTTGTGTAGTGGTTTTGACCCTGCTTAAGGAGAGGTTTTCCTTCTTGACTGTGTCACAGAATCTGACAGCATCTGTGTGATGCTGACCAGGTTGTGTTGGCACAGATACCCTGGGGGATGAGGAACATCAGTGTGTGGCTGTGTGTCAGTGCCAAGGGTGGAGTAAAGCACTTCACTTAAAAGAGAGAAGGAGCACTATGTTGATATAAAATCGCTGTTTAACAAAATTTGATAGTGAAGGAGACACTGATTTAATGAGATTTGATGGCAAAGTGCACTTGATTATTTCCTGCATAGAGGACAGGGTCAGACAAAACTGCTGCAGACTCAACTGCCTGTTGAGTCATGACTTTCATAAAGAACAGATGAGATAATAATGAGAGTGTGGGGGAATTTGGCAGGCAGCCCATTTGAAGATTTGCCTGTGATATTTGGAGCCCACTGGAAGTAACAAAGGAATATGCTCTTCCCTTGGCTTATCAGCATCTTAACTAACAAGCATAAATTTTTCCAAAGAATGCCAGAAAGACAGGTAGCTCTGTTCTTTTCAGGTCTCTTGAGCTGTTGTATGTACTTAATTGCTTCCCATACTTGCTCTGAAAACTTGTCTGAATTTTAGTTGAGTACATTTGTTGGAGTGTTTCTGGAGTCACTGGAGTGAATGTGGGAGGCTTTGGAATGCACTGCACAGATCCATAGTACCTTTTGGTTGTACATGTGGGGATGTGTGAGTAGAAGGAGCTCAGTTGGCACCTAAGAAAATATCTCTTAACTTGTGAGTGCCTTTTACAGGAAAGGAATAGTGACAATGCCCATCATACTTGTTGGCACTAAAAGTGAAAGCCTGGGCTAGATTAAATTTTTATGTGGGACACTAAGCTTGTTTTTTTGCAGTAGGTAATACTGGGAGTGGCTGGGATTCTGCATGCTTGTCGTGACCATTTTCAGAGCTGACAGCTACAACTTGATGAACTGCCTTCTCTTCAGACATTGACAAATAATCCTGGCAAAATCTCCTGTGCTGGAAGTGATCCATTTTAAAAAGGAACCTGTGAGATAGGCAGAAAGTCATCTTGGCTTAAAATGAGAAACTGTTTTGGTAACATTGCTTATTTTTCGAGTATTGCATGTCTTAATCTGTAAGTCATTGAGAACAGTTCTGTAGAAGTGTATAAAATGCACAATGGAAATTGGTAACACTGATTGGAAAGTTGGTGCGAATTTCTCCTGTCTTTGTTTTAACAAAACAGAATTTTAGTAGTTGTTAAGTGTTTTAAAGGAAAAAAAAAAAAGAATTTATTATAGTCTGAAACTTCTTGTTGAGTTTAAAATTGTCCCTTTAATGTACAACTGAGAAAAGCGTGCAGTGGATGTGTGGTTTCCTGTCAATCTTTGTGTGGCTGATGTCCCGCTGAATCCTGGCCACACACAGCCCGAGGATTGCTGCACTGTACCAGGCACAGGATGCAATGTGAAGACTGTCTGTGCATTTTGTAGATGTCAGTTCTGGTGGGGTGACTGCCACCAATACCAACCCTGCTCCTGCCAACACCCCAGTGAAGCAGAACTCAGGGTGTGAGCCACAGAGTACTGCTCTTGTGCAGTCAAACACTGATGGGAATTGCTGCCAGAGCAGTGATTCCTTCTCTGCCTTAGGAACTCTGCTTCTTGATAACAGGGTAGCAAATACTTACACTCAGTGGGATTTCCTTTTCAGGCCTGAAGGTGAAAAATGCTGAAGAAGTTGTGTAGTTATGCTGTATCAGCCTTTGAAAGCAATGTTATGCTGTGATCCTTTATTAGCATTAGAAGCATCCTTGGGGAAATAAGGAAAAACCCACAAGTTTTCATGGACAGAAGAACAACTTTGTTGTCAGGAGGCCATCATATGATATATGATACATATAATCACAGTAGTACATTTGTAGTTTAAGTGAGAATTGTTCATGTATAAATAAATTTGCAGATGACACCAAGTTTTGAACACGGTAGGTGACATACCTGAAGGACAGGGCCATCCAAAAAGATATGGACAAACTCAGGGTGTGGTCCATGGGAATCCTATGAGGTTCAACATGTACTGGTGCTGCATCTGAGCCAGGACAACCCCTGGGGTCAGTTCAAGCTAGAGATAAGCAGATGGAGCAGCCCTGGGAGAAGGACTTGGGGGTGCTGGTGGTGATAGCTGGACATGCCCTGCCCCTGAATCCCCTTTGTGCTGAGATGATAATTTACAAGGGCCTTAAATGACAAGATTAGGGGGGATGGCTTTGGTTTAGACTGGGTATTAGGAAGAAATTCTTCCCTGTGAGGCTGGGGAGGCCCTGGCACAGTGGCTGTGCCCTGTGGCTGCCCCATCAAAGTGTGCAAGGCCAAGTTGAATGGGGCTTGGAGCAACCTGGCATAGTGGAAGCTGTCCCTGCTTGTGGCAGGGCGTGGCACTGGATGGGCTTTTAAGGTCCCTTCCAACCCAAACCATTCTGTGATTTGAAATAAAATATGAAGTACTGAAATACAGTGACATGATTTTCATCGTGTAGGTAATGGTGAGCAACTTGAGCTGTTGTGCCACAAACTGTGCAGACAATCAGTACAGCACGTGTTGTGCTGTAAGCTTTGGAAAATGCTCCTGTATTGAGACATGGGAAATTTCACTCAACATTTTAAAGGCTTTTTAATAAATTCAAAGAAATAGTTCTTTCTTGTAGCTGATTTTATTCTTAATCTTTAGAACACTTCCCTGCGAGAGGTCTCCTCATTAATAAGTACTTAAATGTATCTATGAAACACAAGTTTTATTCTGCTTTATTTTCTCTCTAAGCTTAGCCTCCTAAAACAGGGAATTTTTGCCTGGTAGGATAAGATGATAGTTAGGATAAGTTGTTACCTTTTAGGATGGTCACAGCTTTCCTGCTTAAAACACTTTGGAATGTCGGATGTTTGTAATCTTGAGTCCACACTTCGCTTAAGTGGAAAGTATTACCAGGTGACATCAGCCTGCCAGCATCACATATTTGCAGTTTACGGAGATAAATGTTGATTCTAGAAGATAAAAGACATGAGTTACTTTGGAGAAAAAATGGAAAATTCATGCATGACATAAAGAAGCAGAAGAGCTCAAGTAATGTTTTAATTATGTTTTGCATTAAATTATCTTGGGGAAAAATGAGCATTTCTTAATGGCTTTTTAAATGCAAAATGTATAGTTAAATAAAAGGATAATGGCTAAATGGACTTTGTTTTCTTTGGGAAAGGACATACATTTGTTTAAGCAGGTATCTGGTGTCACACTTATTTAGAAATGTGAAGGTCTTTTCAGAAGTCTGTATTAAAGTGAAGCATTCAAAGTTCTAACTTTGAAAAGGTAAGGTACTACAATGCCAGGAGGGTATTTATGTTTTGTTTGTTTCATCTTTAATAGCTGAAGCTCCCATAAATGTCTAGTTACAAATGATGCTGTTATCTAAGATCTTTTGTTCTTAATCACCTTTAGATATAAAACTGACACTCTCTGAAATAATCTGTCAAGTTTTCTTTTTGCAATTTCTGTTCCATTGAGATGTAAATTTGCAAGTGTCTTCGAGATGATAAACCTTTCAGCATTCTTCCTGAAGAGAGTTGAGGTATCCTTGCAAAGCAGGATTTATTTGGTATTTGGTTATTCACATAATCATGATCTAAAGCATTTAATTACCTTCCGTAAGCATAGTTTGGGGACTTCTGAAAGTGTATCTGCTGGAATTAGGCTTCTTCATGTTCCAAGCTCACTGCAGTCTCATGCCTTTTTTTGCTTTGGTTTGTATTTTGTAGGCAGTGGTGATCAGGAATGCGACCTCTGAATACAACGAAATAAAGCAGCTGTTTCATCAGACTATGAAAAATTACAGTATCCTTAAAATACAGAGGATTCAGAATCCATCCCTCTGGAAGGTGTTTCAGTGGTTAGTACTTGTTTCCCTATCCTTATGAGAAGCCAGTCTCCAAGAACAAGATGTCCTGTATGTGCTTTCTAGGAAAAAAAGGAGGTTGCCACCCATCCCTTAACATGACTGGTATTTTGTTACTAGCAATTTCAGGAGTGAGATTGCTGTCTGAGGCCTTCCACAGAATGCCATACTCTGCTGGGGATGTTCCCTTTGCATGGCTCCTTGGAAGAGAGGGAGAGGAGCTTGGAGAGAAAGACATCCATCATGCAAAACTGGGATGAGGATACCCACAGGGATGTGGAACAGTGATTGTCTCGGGGTGGAGCAGTAACTGCCTGCTGCACACATGCTCTGTCTGTTACAAACCTTTGTCCCTTACAGTATACAAAATACTAAAAAGAGTAAAGGCTGCTTGGGCCTTTTTGTTCCAGTCAGATTTTGCTGAACCAAGTCAGTATTCACTGAGGAAGAATCCTTGTGTTTTAACTTGATGATCTCTGAGTTCCAGAGCTTTCTGGTCTTCAACATCTCCATCAGTGATACTGAACTGTAGGTACTTAGGCCAAGCAAGATACCAGCAGATTAGAGCTGGGGTTGAACCATGTTCAAGTTAGTTTGATGTAAGATTAAGCTGTTGCTAACTTAGAACAGTTGTCTAGTTCAAAACAAGACTGTATGGAATGGTAGTGGAGTAGAAAAATACTGCTCAAATAAATGCTTTCACCTGCAAAATGATGGAACCCAGAAAGTTATCAGCTACTGATTCATAAAACCTTTTAATCTAGCAGAACATAAGAGACTTCAAAACATGTAATAGTGCATATTTTTTATCGTGCTCCAATGAGGTCATTAAGCTAAGCAGGCAGAGTTTAACACTGCCAAGTCCAGAGCATGACGGAGTAATTTGGGTTGGAAGATACCTTAAAGCTCATCCAATCTGCCATGACAGGGACATCTTCCACTATTCTTGGAGGTTGCTCCAAGGCCTATCTAACCTGGCCTGGAACGCATTGAGGGATGGGGCAGCCACAGCTTCTCTGGGCACCCTGTGCCAGGGCCTCACCACCCTCACAGTAAGTTCTCAATGAACAAGTTTCAGTCCATTGCTCTTAACTTTTCATTTACTAATTTACAAGTTGGAAGGATTTTCCCTTCCCCTGGCTCTGCTTAATTTCTGGCTGATGACTCCCTGAAGAATATTACTGCCTTGTCCACTTCTGAAAAACTGAGAGGTGTCTGGATGCTGTGGAATAATGATGGGAAATATGAGTTGAGCCTTTTGTTGTAATTTCTGTTTTGATCCTGTTCATAGTTCAATGTGACTGGCCTCAATCAGTGAGGTGAGCAGTGGGCAAAGCAGGCTGGGTTCATGTCCTGGCCCCATCTCCTCAACAGCACTGACTTCTCTCAGGGGCCAGAGCTGGGGCTGTGGCAGAGAGAGCAAGCTGCCTCCAGCTTCGAGCCACTGTGGAAGCACAGAGCTTCTGTGGTTAATGGTGCCTCCACTCCAGTGAGAGCTTGAGTGGGAAGGGACTTCAAAGCACAACCAAATAGGGCCCTACAGAGGAGCAACAGTGTCAAATGCCTAAATTCCCTGAGTAAAGCCAGAATTATTTAGAATTGCTAAGCAGTGGTGTCAGTACAGTGCTCATCTCATACTTGTTCATCATGCTGCTAGTGTGCTTCATCTGAGAGGTGAGAGAGTAGACTGGAAACCATCCAGCTGAGATTTACATGGATGTTACATAGTTGTTCAAATTGTTTAAAAAAAATACTTTTTCCCCTTTTTTTCTATGGCTCACATTCTCCTCCACTTAATTTTTATCAGGCAGAAAGAGAAGATGAAAAGGGAAAAAGGAGGAAAGGAAGTTCAGGAAAAACGCCTGTTCCACGGAACTGATGTCACCTCCATGGAAACGATCTGCAAACTGAACTTTGACTGGAGAATTTGTGGAAGCAATGGAACTAACTATGGGAAGGGTATGTAGAAAGTGAGATGTCTGCTGAGACTCCTCTGATAGTGGAGCAGTCAAAGGTTCTGAAGTCTTTAACTATAGAAGGAAAAAAAAAGATAATAATTAGTATTACGCTCCTTCTGAAGAGGGCCAGGATTTGCTTTGGGTTGGGAGTAAGTCTTCTCACAAGGTATCAAGAGCATTAGTGCATGGATTTGCTGTAGGTGGCATTTTCTGATGTCTGAAGTCATAATTTGAACTTATAAATCAATTTGTGTGGCAGGGAGCAGAGGAGTATGTATGCCGTCAGTGTGATCATGGAAGGCCCTCATGTTTTCTTGTCTGTCCCTCTCATCACAACACACACACCTTGGTATAAGACCAATAAGCACACTACTGCTTATTGGTACAGCTTTTAAAAAATTACTCCTGAAATAGCAGATAGTGCAATCCCTTCTCTTGCAAAAATTTCGGTGTAAAAAAATTGAGTAAGAAAAGTCCTGAAAATTGAGTCAGATATCTCCTGAAAGCCCAAGGCATGCTCAGATTTTGCTGTCACTGTATAGATTTTCCTCACAACCATGTTTCCATCTTGTTTTCTAGGAAGTTACTTTGCTAGAGATGCTTGCTATTCCCATGCCTACTGTCAGGCTACGCTGCAGGGACACTTCATGTTCGTGGCTCGTGTTCTGGTTGGAGACTACGTTAAAGGCAAAGCCACCTATGTCCGTCCCCCAGTGAAGTGTGCTGACAAGCTGTGGTTATATGACAGCTGTGTGGATGATGAGTTAAATCCTTCTGTTTTTGTTGTCTTTGAAAAACACCAGATTTACCCAGAGTACATAATAGAGTATAAAGAGGAGAGAACAAGAGAGCAGAAAGTGGCGGGAATAGGAGAGCAGAAAGAGACCGGAATAATAGAGCAGAAAGTGGCAGGAATAGGAGAGCAGAAAGAGACCAGAATAATAGAGCAGAAAGTGGCAGGAATAAGAGAGCAGAAAGATACAGGAATAAGAGTGTCTAGAGAGGAGGGAAAAAAATGCATTATATCTTAGTGGAACGTACCAGTTTGTGTCCCTCATCTTGTTTTTCATATTGAACGTGTTCTTCTACTTGGTGACTTCTTTTTAATACATTTCTTCGGAATGTTAATCCAATTTTTGCATTGAGGAGGGCTGGCAAACTAGATGTTACAGTTGTTGTGACTGCCTTACCTTCTTCTCTTCCTCTCTTAAATGAAGTACAGACATTTCGATAACCATAGCAGAAAAATCAGAATTGTGGGATGGGAAATTGAACTTTATGACTGCTGTGGGCAAATAATTGTAAATGCATCGTCTAAAAAAAATAGAGAGGACTTCTCTTCACAAACAGTTAAAAGAAAAATTAACAGTACAGTAGTTTTAAAGGAAACTTTCAGGTTTTTAGTGGCCGGAGATTCTTTTCAGTGCAGAATTCATCTGTTCTTAATCCTCTCATCTGTCATTATTATAAACAATACAGTGTAGGTAATGACGACTTGAGTTTGTTTTCAAAGCACTGCTTGTTAATGCTGGTACATGTTTTAAGTTAAAATGATAAACAGAAAAAGAAAAAGCATATTTTAAATCCATGTTGTTAGTTCTCGAGAATTTTCATCTGTACAATGGCAGATGGATCAGAAAGCTGTTGGATCAGATTCTTTGTGGAAATGTAGCTTGCTGTAACCTATACAGTAGCTTGCAGTAGCTTATTGTAACTACACAAAAGCAGAGCTCAACATGAAGCTGTGAAAGCCACCACATATGAATAAGCAGATACTAAAATGTGGTGGTTTGGCTTCAACTAATGGCTGTAAGTACACAAAGACTGTGTCCCAACAAGTCAGGCTTTTCAGTGGATGTGGCCACTTAGCACAACAGGACATGAGAAACTTCTTAAGGATCATAGAGATGTTGTGTTTGTGCAATAATTTTCGTTTTTCCAGATTAGAATGGGACCAAAAGAGACCAGTTAGGTTCTCTTGAGGCCAGTGGTAGAACTGCTGTCATAAGGCACCATCCGCATGTTCTGCTGCCCACTTGCGAGGGGCAGGATGCTGACAAGTGAGGATCCTCTTTTTGTTTTGGGGGGTGATCCTGGGTCAGAAACCTGTGCAGTTTCTACTGGATGTTAGCAAGGAGTCTCTAAGTGGATCAAACTAAGGCCCTCGGTACAAAATGCCATATTCAGGCAGTTTAGATGTTCAGAGGGAAACCAGGAGTGAGGACAGAGAAGCAGTAATTTTTACCTTCAGTTAAGCTTTACAGAAACACCAGTAGCCTCGATGGTTTTTGCATCTGTGATAGAAATCTGTCAACCACTCAAAGATAACAAGTTCTTCCCAAGAGGAATGTAAAAGATAAATCCAGAAAATCTTACTAAAATGACTTAGAACTAAATGAAAACATGCGGGGAAGATTTTAATCCTGTTTTAAGACCTCTCTTTTCTTGTTTGCTTGTATAATTCCTGAATTACTGAGCTTGCTGTATTTGCAAATAAAACCTGTTTTCAGGCATTTTCAGTGTGCATTCTGTCTTTACATAAACATAGCAAGACTAAATATGCTGAGTGAACCAGCCCCTTCCTACATTCCCTGTCTTCCTTCAGTGTTTCTAAACTGGGGAACTGCACATGTGGATTCCCATTGTAGGGTAGATGCTTAGCTAATTACTAAGGAGAGAATATTTCTATAAATTAACTTCCTAGCTAGGAGATTTTTAACATTAAAGTGGTGGAGTAGTTTGGTTAGATTTCATGTAACTAAACAGCTACTCTGAGCAGTTAATGAAGTCCTAAGAAAAGGTGAAAGAATTAAGTGAGGTAGTGGAAGAACTGTTGGTATTAAATCTCAAAGTAGTGAGATATTGAGAGGTTCTAAGGATGTACTTCTTTAATATGCAGATGAGTAACTTCTAAAGACTCTAGATCAGGCACCTGTAGGAAGCCCCAAGCCTGTGAGGCACAAGGCAGGCCTGTATGGGGAGGGTGCCAGCGAGATGCTGACAGTTTAGGATCAGTCCAGATCACCACACACAGAGGGTAAAGACACAGCAATACAAGAACTGCAGAGCTGTTCTATGGTCCAACCCACCTTGCAGTGGGGATGCAGCTTCCTGATACACAAGGCTTTGGCTTTTCCATCAGAGGGCTGGACTGGGAGTGAGAGGTGCAGTCTGGACAACTGAGCTGAAGGGGAAGGAAGCTGGAAAATACATACTCTGAAAGCAAGAGAATGAGAAAGAAACAACGGTTCTCCCACCTCGTGGCACCTCAGCCTCTTCCTAACTGGCACCAAGGAAAACCCCTGGGAGGCTGTGGCACACTTGAGCTGTGACCTGCTGCTCTTCACTGCTGGAGGCTTCTGGCCACTGTGGTGGAAACAAAGTGGCCAGAACTGTTACACATCTATGAAATTAGGCTGAATAACAGATTTAAAAGCTTCACACATGCAAAGAAGTCATGTACTTACTTGCTCAACCAATTTAAGGCAAAGCAGACAAAATTGTCAGTCGTGCTATCAAAAGTAGAGCTGTCATTGATTCCATTGATTACACCCTGCATAGCCAGGCAGAGCTTTCTCCAGCTTTTGTTCCCTTATACAGTTTGTTACATTCCTCCAGTAAAACATTACCTGTCTAAAGTCATTGCTTGAAGTGCACTCATTAAAAATAATAGTGTAAAAATCCAGTGTAATGTGTCTCAGGTGAGTCATCCCCCCACCATGAGCAGAGAAGCTGTCTGCTGAAGAACAGCACGCCCATAAATCAGAAGACCTGAAGGCAAGGAATGCAATCCCTTACATGGTTTTATTATTCTTCCTTTAAAAATAAGCTATTTCTGCATTAGGGGAAGATCGGGTAAAGCAAAATGTCAGCAAAGCACTTCCACTTGTTCCACGATGCAGGAACTCCAGGAGCAGTGCAGGACCAGCTATGGAAGTACTTTCTTAAGTCGAAAGGAAACTGTAGAACAAGGCTGCTGTGGGACATGGGGAAGAGCCTGACCTGGTCAGAAAGGAGGGGCAGGCCTGTGAGGCCAGGAGAGCTTGCAGATGTAGAAGCAAAGCCAGAGCTTGGGCAGTTGCAGAGTGTGGGACTTCCATTCCAGAAGAGGAGGCATGAGTTCAATTTTGGTCTGAAATACAATCTTCCCTGTCATTAGGGATTTCTGAAATACTTTTGCAAGACAATGTGTTAGCTCTGGGATGCTGCAGGAATCCAGAGGCACCAGAGCTCCCTCGAGGTCCGTGGCTCACATCATGCCTGACTTGCAGCACCGACCTTGATCCCATCACATGTGCTGGGGCCGAGCGGTGTCCATCCCCCTGAGCCCTCTTTCCCATGGCAGAAGCTCCCTTCTGGTCTTCACCTCTCCATAGGGTGTGCTTTAACCCTGGTTTAAACCCCACTTTGCCAACTTGCAGGACTTCTCTGGAGTGAGATGGTAGTAAGGCCTGACTATCCAAAAGCTCAGGGAAGCACAAAGACCCAGTCCAACAAACCTTCAGAAATGGTACTGTTCAGCTGAAATCCAGGTTTTTCTCTTTTTCTGAAAGATCTAAAAGTGCGAAGGGAGCACCCATGTCAGAATAGTCATTATTCTTGTCTGGTTTAATTTACCCTGTAATGCCAGAAAGCTCTGATGTGCTATATTGAGAGGAAAAATTTAACATTTTATGGGACTGAGTTTAAAATGTACACCTGGAAAGAGATCCTGCATGCAGACAGATCTGTGAGTCCTGCCTGAATGGGCTGGAAGCTCAATATGGAATTCAGTTAATGCCTGTATTGGCTCTGGCCTTCCACCTTCCTATTAGCTTTATATAAAAGTTCCCTTTGAATTACCTTAGCAGTTTACTTCACATGTAGGCCAAGTAACAAACTGGGCCAAAGAAGGACTGAAATCCAGGCACTGTTACTGCACTGTGTATAAGGGTCAGTGGGAATGTTCAGGAAAACATACCAGCGCAGCAATGCCTTTGGGATGCTCCAGAAAGCTTTATCAACAAGTTTTTCTTGCATTATCACCAAGTTTTCTTCTTTCCTTGTGGAATCATCTAAGACATAACCTCCAGAAATGCAACACCTCTGTCTTTTAAGGAAATGATTCTCAGATCTTTTAACCTTGAGTACCTCCCCAAATTCCTTCACAGTACCCCTGCACTCCCTGCACCCAGGCTTTGTGGAAAGCTCCTGGCTCTTCCAGCTGAAGCTGGAGGAAAGCCTATGCCATGGAATGCACAGCTGCTGCCTTCCTGATCAGTCGCTCAGTCATTGGTGACTTGGGTCTCATTATATCACGTTCATGCAGGAGACACCTGTGAAAGGAGAAGTAGGAGGGTGAGGAGCGGGTGATAAACGTGGACTGTTCTGCCAAACAGGCTGTGCTGAGGGGCACATGGCAGAGCACACCTCTGACTCCCCAGCAAAGCAGATGTCAGCAGTGGCACTGACTGGAGTTGCAGCAGTTCACAGAAGCTTAGTAGTCCATAACACACATGGTCAACAGGCCATATCTGAAGACAGAACCATTTGAAAATCAGCTACCCATGAACATACACAGATCATCCATCCAGGCCAAAAGAGTGGACTTGTGGAATTGGAAGCTATTGTACTTTTTATCCTGCTTAAGTGTTGCTACATTTAACACAAATGGTTGCATATAGTTTTAGCCTTAAATTTATTGGTTTGAATATATTCATTACTTCTTGCTTTTTGAGTCTATTTGTTACTTCTTACTTTTAACAACAGTGCTACTTCCACAAATATTTATCAGGGGAAATACTTACCTTGCAAGGTTTCGTTTGGCCTTTGATTTGGAATTTAAAGCAGCATGAATCAATAACAGGCTGAAAACATCTCTCTGGAAAAGAAGTCAGCAAAATACAAACTAATAAGTAATTTATCATGTATTGCTAGTTACAGTATCTTGGTTACCAAGCTATTAAATTCACAGGTAGTAAACAAATCAGCATTAAATATAAATAGCTAACCCTGCTAGTAAGCATTTTAGTAAGCATTTGCAAACAGGATTCAGTCACAGACACAGTTCAACTTTTCACTGTCTAATATTGAAGTGGTGTTGATGAGCTAAGTGCTTCATGGTGGCTACTGAAAGGGAATTAAATCACATCAAAAAGTCTTTTCTGGATCTCCTTTACCTGAGCATCACTGCCTCCCAGTTGGACTAGTTCATAACGGATTGGGTACAGCAGGTCTACAGCTTTGTCACAATTCCCATTTTCAAATTCTACAAAAGCCTGGCACAGTGGCAGCCCCAAACTAGGAGCCAGGGAAAGCTCGTGGTCTTCATGAGGAGCTCTGTAGAATGAAAAAGTGGTTTACTTCCATAAGCCAAAGCATAAATCGCCATATTTCAATGCTAGTCTGCCCCTGCCTGCAGACAACTTTGGGGGTTTTTTTGTTAGTTTTTTTTTTTTTTTTTACTGTACAAAGCCTGGTGTTTCAGGTACTTGACTTAGGTCATATATTTTGGTATGGTTATGCTACTTTCACCTTTTCATTACTCATCCAGCAGTCAGTTTTTATCCTGAATATACCCACAAAAGGCACAAGCCCAAGCCCTCCTAGCACTGCAATAAACAGTTTGGGCTAGGACAGTAAGAAAACTGCAGTTTCTCTTCTGCTGACCCCACCAGAACATCCTACTGCTAGCCCTTTGTCTGGCCACATGTGGCCACCAGTCCTTGTACACAGCTCCCAACCATGACGTTGCAAGGCAGCTCCTTCTCAAGTCAGCATCACAAAATCTCCTGTTTCTTTCACTGGGCCAGCCTTCATTTTCCAGTAGGCAGCACTGCCCTATGTGTTTACCATTCCTTAAACAAACTATGGCATCCTAGAAGGATAGAAGTGCACAACAGATGTTCATTTGAAGCAGCTTGAGGCAGCCAGTGATGAAAAGGATGAAACAATTCCTCATTTACATGTTTTGTCCAGCATTTCCATGGAAAGGTGCCTGTGACACCAGCCACCAGAGAGCGCCATGGGACACCCGACAAATTCCCAGCAACTTTCCATGGCTAAGGCCAGGGAAAAATACCGGTGTAATGCCAGATGTTTGTGCCCAGGTTGTAGACGTAAAGTAGTCTAATCATTAATACAGCCTGTTCAACTCACAGCTTTCTCAAATAATGAAATTAAGTTTTATAATATTCCAAACTACAGCAAAAAATGTACACATGTATTAAGGCTGAAAGTAGGTGAAAGGAAGCACTAGATGAAATAATAAGTAGCACATATGAACACATGTTCATTAAAGCCTCTGTGGTGGACAGTTTTCTATACTTTATATATCCTGACATACCTATATAAATAATAGAATAAATAACAAAAGATATTTGCTGTTTTCTACTATAGTTAAATGAGACATACTTAGGCTTGCTTTGAAAGTTACTTGCTTTGTTAAGTATTCTTAAAAGTTACAGTATTCCTCAAAACTATATATAGTCAGGAACAAATAGTGACAATTTCAGGTTCTCCTTCCTTCTTTTTAAAGGCAAAGGAAGCAACAGATGCTTAAACAGAGTTAAAAAAAGGTGTAGTGAAGGGATGAAATTGAATTTAAACCATCTATGTATCAACCTCTTGAAAAAAAAAACCAAGACAATTCACAGTCATTTAATACCCAAGGGAACACAAAACCTTCATTGTTTGGATGTAGTACTTAAATATACAACTTTTCCAAACAACTTAATTTGAAAGTTAAATATTCTAGATTATTACTTTAGTAGTACTTTAAACCTAATTTCCTGTAGATAGACTTAACAACACGTCAAAGAGTAGCCATTAGAATATCACTACCGATTAATGTTCTGTTATTAACCTTTTAAACTAGAGCAGAAAAGATCCACCACAGACAGCTGACATAACTTGTGGAATGTTCTTATTAATATACTTCTTGTCTGTAACACAACTTAGTGTGACCCCACTAAAAGGAAACAGACAGCAACTGCTTAGGCAGTGTCTGTGACCCTAAACACAAAAGATTTCTGCTCAACAACACGAGGACCCCCTCTAGACATTAACTCATTAAATAAATATTATGCATCTCCTAACTGGACGTTGCCCTGCTTAAACCAGATGTGTCCCAGGGACATGCTAAGCCAGAGACGTCACCACCCTGAACTTCAGAGGGCCATTCGCTGAACCCAATGCAGGACTTCCACTGCTCACCTGGCAAGTTCCTGCAGAGTTGTTAAAAGCTCCTCAGTAGTTTTGTGGTCTTTGGCTCCAAGGAAAGACATCAAGAAGTGCACATCATTGAACAGAAGAATGTGATCCTTGGTGTGCTTCTTCGTAACCCCAAGCAGATCATTCCACCTGTCCCCAAGCTTTACACCTAAGAGTAAAAAGTAATTCTCTCCATAACGTTGCCACATGTGAAAGGATGTCTTTGCAACTACTTTCAGCCACTCAGCATCAAAAAGCATTCCTACTGAACTCAAGAGAACATTTCCTGAT